GATTACTTTATTTTTTTCTAATATTTGTTTGGTCGATTATCCACGACATAGAACATCGAATCAGATTCAATAATCTGCTTCATGAACCGCTAACCATGATAATATCAGTAGTTTTCAATTTGACTCAATTTTTGTATACTCGTTTCTTGCATGATATTAATACACATACACACACCTACATGCTTAGATCATCCACATGGGTTATTGTAAATAATGATTGTTATTTGCAAATGTAGAGATGACATGTTTGATTACTGACTATGTAGGCTGGTGAGATTGTGAATCGTGTTGAAGAAATTGGTAGGGACCTTTATCTTCACGTTGTTGATATTGACGACTGTATGCAATCATTCCTTGTTTTTGAGTAGTTTCTTTATGTTTCATCTATTACTTACGTTCAAACTTTAGTTTTTCAACCTTTTAACGTTCGTTCAACATGTTTGATCTTTTTATGATATTTTTTCTGCCTATATAATGTAATTTTTAATGTTTTCAAATAGCATAAAGAACTCTGGAAGTACTGTGTTCAATCAACGTAAAAGATGTAAAACTGTTTGGAGTTTAGATTAACTAACTGGAAGTTAATTACAATACATTTAACAAAACATTTGGGAAGTGTATTCAATTTTTATGTGATAAAATTATGTAACTATCTACACTGCGGTGTATGCTACTGATGTCGACAGACGTAAGTAGTATGTATCACTAATCAGAAGTGGAATGTCTGGTGGCAGAAGGTTGAGAGAAATTGAAGAGAATAGAGAGTGATTGGTGTAGAAACCAAGGAACAATGAAGTCTGAGATAATTGATAGATATTTTGAAAATGAATTATTTACTGTATGGTTCGCAGATTTTACCAAGATATTCTGTAATGTAATGGAATCCCTCTGGTCGTCCCTCACTTGTGTTTTCGCTCACTATAATACCAGCATATTACGATTAACTATCAGATGACTATCTCCTTTGTCAGGTTAAGTCAGTTATGTCAAATGGAAATGTTTAGTATTCCCACCGAAAGTTGGTTAAATGTATGTAATTCTTTTTTTTCCTAGAATCGTTTATTTCACCGGTTTCAGTTTTATTTATTTAGTTAACTGAAACAGATGAAAATTAATTACGTATTTCACACATTTCGGATCGACCAACTTATTAACAATCTGAATATGCAATTTGTCGGCAACAACAACAACAACAAAAAGTAACGAACAACAATTACAAGTGTTTTTTTAATAGTTGAATTCATGAGTTGATCTAAGCTAGACCACTACTGAAAACCTGGAAGCACTGGAAAGTTGTTTCATCCTATTATGGAACTCAGCAGTGAGCTTTCATGATCCTAGAACCTTTGGTCTTGCTCGCGAACCCTTAACCTCCTAGACCAATGATCCGGTATTCAACAGTGTTAATATCTAACTTCAATCGATTCATGATCTTGCACAATCCTTCATTGATTGTCTGAAGTAGATACCTGTCTCTACCCGATACAGACTGGACTCCACTGGTCACAGCTTCTCATTACTTACAAGTGTGCATTTTCTTTTGATTATTTATGTTAAAGATTTAAAATCCAATTCATTTTCTTGGCATTAAATGGGTATTGTTTTTAATCTAATAACTAGACTTACAGCATACAAACGTACATACATACAAACAAACAAACAAACAAACAAACAAACAAACAAACAAACATACATACATACATACATACATACACATATATACACAAATACCCATTTTGTATTCATCAGTGTTATTTTGTCATTGTATCATATTACAATGTCATTACTAAATTAACTAGTATTTCGAATGTATTCATCTTTAGACATTTTTATATTTCGACCTTTTATCAATGTAACTAAAATCGAGACAGGATATTTAATTAGTTTATATTAAAATGTAAGTCATCTTGTTTGAACAACTAATTGACTAATTAACTATTTCTAGAGTGTAAAATTTAAGTTTGACATGGTTTGGAATTATCCTTTTCTTTACAGAACTTATTTATATCAATAGTTGAAATTATGAGTCAATTGAAGGCAGACAACCATGGAAAATCTGGAAGTACTGGAAGGCCGTTTCGTCCTGGTACGGGACTTCTTAGCTGTGCGCATCCACGATCCCGCCCCCCACGAGATTCGAACCCAGGAACTATCAGTCTCGCGCGCGAGCGCTTAACCATTAGACCACTGAGCCGTCCGGCATCCACTGGTGTTAATTTCTAGTCTCAACATTTAAACATCTAGACATTGATACAAAAAAGCATCAAATATATATGCGCCACACAACTCATCCAACTTGTGTGAAGGCTGGAATATTGGTCTGGGGGCCAAGACCGAAACAGGTGGTTTTCTTAGAGGACTATTCACCAAGCCTTTGATCTAAAGGTCTAATCCACATGGCTGCGGAGCAAAGTAGGGAGATGCAGTTTCATGGTAGTCGGTGACCGACAGTAGATTCATACGTCATTTGTTCCTCCAGGATCCTAAAATCAAGAATTTTTAACTCCCCTACGTGGACTGTCCTTATTCGCCAACCCGGTTAAAGCGCCTAACACTCGCCTATCGTTCTCTCAATTTCGTAAACAACACCGCCGCCACGAATAGGCAGTGAGTATAACTTCCCTGGTAGTGGATGTATACGCGTGGCCATGTGAGAGTATTCGGAGAGGAAGAACTGACTCTCCCTACCCTCGACCGTACCATGGCATTTGAGGGAAATTTGATAGTAATGAATTCCATACTTTGAAAGACTAGATTCTGAAATTAACAATGAAAATCTATAGTTTGCAAATAAGAATGTTAAATTTTAGCTTAATCTCATTTCAGATCGTCGATACACACTGCTAAAATGTTATAAAGAATATTGAGTGACTGTCTATCATTAGGCAGTGTTACATAACATCTAAACGTGAGGCGAAAAAGCTACTGACAGAAGCACTTATTACTGTAATAAACTACATATGTAGCTCATCAGTAAGCCTAAATTTTGAGGTGAAGTATGTAGCCTGTGGGAAATTACGAATGCATGTATTTAATTATCTTCAATCTAACGTTCTTAAGATTATTCTTAAATATGATGTAACTTATGGTAACGAACTATTCCATTTATTTAATTAAACTAATATTATCCAATACAAATGTTTTGTCCCATTAAAATTACGAAACAACCAAAGTACGAGACGCCAGTTTTCTCCTAGTATAAGACTCTTAAAAATAGGCAGTGACAACCGTGTAAGCGAGAGTTGAACCTACGATCTTCAAAATAGCTCGCTCACTGACCCGGAAGCCTAAGGTTTTCAATTCTAACTTCATTCGACCCACGATAGTGCCTAACTATCTTCTAATGTTCTCATCGAGTAACTTCCCCATAGTCGACATAGTCAATACTCACTGGTCACGGCTTCTAGCTAGAATTCCGGAAATTTCCTCTCGAATTCAGTCACAAATGGCCACTTTGACTGGTTCGTGTTTTTAATGAAATTTAAAAATCTCCACAACCCTTCACTAAAAATTTTGCATCATTTGCTCTAACTGAATTATTCAAGGCTTTAAAACAAATAATTTAATATCTGAGTATGTCTGGATAGTTTAGTTCATTGAGATATTTTCTACTTAACATAATTGAACAACAATCGGACTATGAAGCAGAATTTTCCCAAGCATCCACAAAATTTCGATTCCACCACTGTTTATGAAATGTTTAAGAGGGATGGACTATCAATATTTTGTTACGACCCATTTGTACCGTGTACAAAAACTGTAAAATAATCTTGCTGAAATGGCATAATTTTGAAGATCCAGTGAAAATGGATTGTTCATGTTTTATTTACATAAATGAATGGATGATCTGTAATCACAGCTTTCAATCGATTTGTTTAAAACAATAACTTACCAGTAGTAGGTTGAAACAAAAATCTCCCTGATTGAAATCTAATGTCAACAGCCAATTATCGTACAAAAGCCATATATATATTGAACGTATTACACATGAAAGGAATCATCACGAGCCTGTGTGACTACTTTTTATCGATATTGACAAACAACAAATTGTCAGGATAGTTCAGTTAACTAAATCATCCAACTTAAATAACGAAATTCCATTAAAACCATCCACCTTAGCTACTAATCTTATTCATCATTTCAATAGGTTTCCAATTCTTAAAAGTGATTAATAAAAAATCTGTTGACTAACTTACTCACTTTTTTCTGTTTGGAGACTTCTACATTCTTGAGATGGTGCTTTAATGAACGATAAACCTAAGTTTATACTCTTCGTAACAGTAACTCTATGCAAAACCTCATTGACTTAGTATAAATAGCATTCTTCAGACTCCATCAACTGAAAATGGCTCTCTGATCATATAATTGTGAAGATAATTTTATGTTGGTATTACCTTTCTGGTTTTACGGACGATAACTATTAAATCTTTTGAAATATGACGATCCCTCGACTCACTGAAACTTCAGATAATCTTATTAATTTATCAGTATGGGGTTGTGGAGATTAATAAGTTATTAACTGAGATCACGAACCGACCGATGTTAGACTACCATTGAGAACCTGGAAGCACTGGATGGCCATTTCATCCCATTGTGGGACTCCTCAGCAATGCGCATCCACGATCCCACGAGCGTGGACACTGACACCATTGGATGCCAGTTCAATGGTCTAGAGTTGAGGTATTCACACATGAGACCGAAGGTTGTAGGTTTGAGTCCCCTTGATGCGGAATCGTGGATGCGAATTGCTGTGGAGTCCCATACTAGGATGAAACGGCTGTCCAGTGCTTTCAGGTTCTCAATGATGGTCTAACATCAATCGGTTCATGATCTCAATCAATAACTTATCAATTTAATTTCTGTTCTTCATGAGCAAATATTTTCTATTGTAATTATCTAACAAGAACTGAGTACTTATTTGTAAGATTCACATTATCACTTGTGTCATTATTTAAAAATGACTATACAACATTTTAACATCAAGTGGACAGAAAACGGTTAAATTTTTAATATTATTTTTGAAAGCTGAATAATTTACATAACTAAACCGAACCCTATTATTATTACTTGGAGTATTTCTTTCGACCTAATGGTAAGTACTTGGTGTATGTTACTTATATCGACCTAAATAATATATAACATCTGCCAGAAGTGGAATACCCTGTTAGCAGATGATTAAGAAGATCAAATTCAAGAGAACAGGAACAAAGAGTAATTGTTATGGCGGCAATGATGGAATGATAAAGTTTGAGATAATTGATGGAGGATTAAACGTATAGTTTTTTTTTACATTTGACAAAAGAACTTTGTAAAAAGAAAAACCACGTTGAAAATAAAACATTTTCATATTGACTGACAAGAAAAATCACCAAAAGAAAAACGAACGAAATAGATAGATACTGTGAAAGAGAGATAGAGAGAAACAAACATGTAAATAGATAGAAAAAGAGTGAAATATAAATATGATACATAGAAACAAGTTAGAGTAAAGTTTATTTGAACCTAAACAATTTAAAATCAATATTCAATTTCTGATGTTGTTGTTTTTTTATAATTTTAATCGACGAACAACGTCATTGGTATTCCAATTTAATTTTGATTGTTCACTGCCAACACTAGAACAATTTTCATTGATTATTCCACCGGGTAAAATAACAATACTAGAAGAATTATTTGTTGAATTATCATTTCCTTTCATATTTTGTACACATGTTAATGTTGTTGTTCCATTTATATTAATAGATGATGAATTATTTATATGAGTAATTGTTGTTGGATGTTGTAAATTAGATACATGACATGTAGGATAAAAATGCATAAATTGTCCACCTAATTGACTTGGATCATCTTCACTAGCTCCACGTCCAGAATCAGCTGATTCTACATCAAGTTCACAATGAATATTTCCATTTTGAATTCGACGATTAGATGTAGTATAACAACATCCTATTCCATTATTGGTACCTATTATTAAAGGCTGAAGGAAAATAAAATAAAATGTTAGAAAATTTATTAGGAAATGTTGGAAATGAATGAACATGTTAAAAGAGTAGATCAGTTTGTAAGTTCAAATATGGTGATATTCTAAGATGGTAATAGTTCTGAAAGGATATGTGAAGGACAAACCTACAACTTCACTCCGTTGTTGTATTTAGTAACTAATTGTGACAAGATATGAATTTTCAAGTTGATTTACAACCTAAAAGCATATAATGATGATAACAACAATTAAACAGACTCAACCTGGTTGAAAAGACAGTTTGCTTCCAAATTTCGTGGTTTGTGAAAAGTTGATTTTGTTTTAATTTTTTGTGGCCCGTGATATGACTCCATGTAGATTGTTTGCTGCTTGTTATCGAAATATACATGTCGCTAATCCTTGTATATTATCATTGACTTAACTCGCGTTGGTTAAGAACGGAATAAAATAACTCAAATACAAGAATGCATCTCGAATACGTATATTTCATACAATCATTGTTCTAGACAAACAGTCACAGAAACGAAGCGAAGAAAACGAAGTGAAGAGAAAGAAACGGAATGACACACAGTAGAGAAAACGTGTGAGCCAACTCGATTTAATCAAGTGTTAATCAATATTTATAACCAGATAAAAATAAGTTACGAACATGTAATGAGTAGGATAAGATATGTACAAGCATACGCTTAAACAAAAACAGTCCAGGTTAATGAACGTATAATTGATAAGGTTAAAATGTGATTTAAGAAGAATGAATATATTGGCTTGCTCGGAAGCCAGAATGAGCTATGTGGGCTTAACACAGCAACTGACACATCAACTTACACCTACATATATTAACATAGCGACGATAAATATTTGAAGTCTAGTAAATGAATGTTTAATTCAACGAAATTTATTCTTTGTGTGCCAAATCATCTCTATCAAAGCCATTAATTCCATCAGTGAGAAGTATAGTATATATTTAGTATGTTCGTTATAGATCAGAAAATTGTGTGTATCTTACGGGTTAGAATTAAATCAGAGACTATTGAATGGAAGGAGAAAATTGCATTCACTACAAAATACAAAATGGATGACTGAAAGCTGTGATTAAAATATCAACAAATTGTGCTACCTCTGTACAGTAATGAAATGACTATCTGAGAGCAACGTCTTAGAATCCTAATAAACTGAATGTGTTTATTTTTTTATTTCCAAGCTTAAGTTTTTTTAATAGAATGTTTCAAGATATAGTCAATTATCTGGAGGATTTCCTGACGACCTTTCATCTTGTGCCCACTGAACGCTTAAAGCAACTAACAGATTTAATTAATAAATCTATCATATACACAGGCTAGAATCATATACATGTAATCATCTACTCTAGCGTATAACAAACATTAGTCAATATCAGAAGGGACTGTTGTGGACATTATAGTAATTTCAATGGTTGAGATCATGAGTCAATTGAAGTTAGACCATCATGGAAAACCTGGAAGAATTAGACGGTCGTTTCGTCTTATTGTGGGACTCCTCAACAGTGCGCATCCACAAGACTGATAAGTCCTGATTTTGAATCTCGCGAGGTGGGATCGTGGATGCGCAATGCTGAGGAGTCCCACAGTAGGATGAAACGGCCGTCCAGTGCTTCCAGGTTTTTCATGGTGGGCTCATGATCTTAACTACTGAAACATTAGTCAGTTTAAGCATAATAAACATAAAAATAGTCCCTTATCGGTAAACTGAAGAAACACATTGAAAACACATGTTAACATTGTGAAAAAAACACAATTAAAACAGAACATTATCTAAAAAAATTGATACATTTTAGTAGATTCATCCAGTTAGAAGACAAAAGTGACCACACCTTATAAATTAAATCAATCAGACCATAAAATCGTGAGACAATAACGACAGCATCAAAATTAATCGTTATAATAATAATAATAATAATAATAAGTAGTAGTAGTAGTAGTAGTGTGATCTGTGCTACTGATGTCAACATTTATAAGTAGTATGTATCGTCAGCCGAAAGTTAAATGCTTGGTGGCAGAAGGTTAAGGAGATCGGAGAGAAGAAAATGAGACTATAGAATGACTAATGTGGGAATGTAGGAACAATCAATTCGGGGACAAGTGATTGCCATTTTGCAAATAAAGTATTTAACTATTTTGACCTTTCCAGTTAAATGTCTCGATACTCCAGTGTCAGTGTTCACAATGAGACTTGAATTCATTGCTTATCGCTTTAAATATCAACAAAAATTGACCAGAATTCGGTCCTGAGTATCAACAACGATAGGATAAAATCTTTAATGAATAGGAAACTAACAGTTTACTCTTAAATACTTCAATGAATTAATTAAGTGAAACAATAAATAAAAACAAATTTAATCACAATCGACTTCAGTACCGTCAACCGATCAATTCAGTAATAAAAATATTAACTAAATAAACACTACTGACAACTACAACCCTGGGATGTCGGTACATTCAACTGACAAGTCCCAAATGAGAAGAAACGCTCGTCCTATATTCCACTGTTAGTCATATTACATCTAATCAATATCATCATTCAGTTATGTATTGTTAAGAAAACATTGATTTCGATGAATTTTCTTGAATTCGATTAAAGATCAAGAAAAAAAGATCAGTGACACAGATAAGCTGAAAATCGATCTCTATGTAACAGATTCATATAAAACATTTAATCATATGTTTTAGTAAGCAATGATGGATAGTGGCTAGCAGTGGAATCCAGGACGCGTGTTTCGTCCTATTTGGAACTCGTCAGCTGGATGTATCTGCATCTCCGAGTTGATGTTCACTCTGGGACTCGAACCCATTACCATCCGCTTCAAACGCCATCTCGCTATCCACTCAGCTACTGATTCCTGATAGCTACTTGCTTGTGGAATGGGGTGAATTTAAATTCACTTGGTATTGTTTGGCTTGTATCTTCTCACTGAGGTTTAAGACTGCAATTGATCAGTCTGTTATTGGCATATGTGCATACTGTGCGTATGCCTCGATATTGCCTTAATTCACAAGCTTTTTGTAAGTAATGACTGATCAATTGCAGTCTTAAACGTCAATGGGAAGATACAAGCCAAACAATACCAAGTGAATTTATTCATATCATTTGATTAACATCAATATGGGCTGGGTACATGATATCATTGTTAAGAATAGAACATGATTGGTACATTTAAATTCTGAAGTAATTTTAAATTCGATACATAAAGAAAACATTGTTATGAATACTAAGTTGATTTCATGATTGATAAAGACAAATTAAGTCATTAGCCAAGACGTTTACAAAATATAGAGCTATGAAAAAAAAGAAGATTGTTGAATAAGTCTATGTTTCTATGATATCTGTTGTAAAGACAACATTGAAATTTGTGACCTGACCTGATTTGCATAAACAAACAATTGAATAATAACATGAAACATCTGTTAAACAAGAAGAAACTGAATTAAGGTGGAGTAATAATGTTGAAATTAGAATAAAATGACAGCTTTTTTGAAAGAACCTTGTTTAGAGGTTAACTGTTTCCAGGTACATAGAGTGACCATTTTTAACTATTCAAACAAGTTGAAATGAATAAATTAATGACAAAGTGATTTTGGTACCAATATGAAGATGGGTAATTGAGAGAATTTTCAAATTCAATCTGATTTAGAAACAAAGCATTTGATATTGTAAAGAAAATTTACATTTTACAGTTTTGTAGACTAATACTTAACAGTATAGGGGAGTTTATGTAGATTATAGACTTCCCAGAGATTTTAATCCATGAAATGATGTTAGTTAGATCATTGCTGAAAACATAACAGTATTGAATGTCCCATACTAGGACGAAATGACCGTCCAATGTTGTCAAGTTACTTGATGTAAAATATAATAGTTGACAAGATGAATAGTAATTGGACACCATCACTATGTATCTCTGGGCTTACCCAACCAGAGAGAAATAACATAAACATTACATAGCTTTTTCACTCTTCTAAAATCAAGTACCTAGCCTGCCGTATACCCTGATGGTGTTTTCGTAACTTTGAGGTTGCCTGATTTGTCATGGGCGATGGGACAGTGTATGATGCTATTGTTGTGTGCTAGGTTCAAAGAGAATTGTATGCTATATGCATGCAAATCCGCCCCGTTATTGTTCCTGTTGTTCCTATTAACGAATCTTGAGGGTCAAAACCGATTCAGTTGAGTTGAACAGTCTGTAGTAATAATCTTATCTTTTCTTCACTAATATCCAGAAAGGATTTGTGTGGTTGTAACATTGTGTGTACTGTTGCTAAAATATTTGGTTACGAAAATTTCAGTTATTAAAATGTTCAATGAAGAAATAAACAATATCTTCTAGAAACGGTATGTATCCTTGTTAAAATGTTCTTAATTTTAAGTAGGTTGTATGTCATAGTTACTTTGGAAGCTTCATAACGAAAACTAACATCCTTAAGTTCACTATTATACAGTTATGTTTTAGAGATACATAGCTAAGACTAACAGATTACGTAGTATTAATTAATATCATATTGTGTAGTCGTTAGTGCTGATCGAATTTCTTCGATAAAGTTGTTATATGGCTTCTATTCTACGAAATTATGATACTGAGTAATATGGATTCGGATTCAACAGGTTGTGTCGATTCTCTTAGGATAACAATATATCTTCCTAGTGGTCTGTTGCCAATTAGATTCAGTCACTTAATGTCAACCGTCTCATTAGTGGAATCATTAATCTAATAGTTTCTGTGTTTGAAAATGAGTAAGAAAAAAACTAGCACCAGGGTTTGTCATCGAATACCTTTACATATTTATCATTATGATCACTGAGACTTGATGTCTCATGAATAAAATGATAAGTTTTTCGGTTTTGCATCCTATTAAATATTCACAAATCAGTTAGTAATTTTTAATAATTGAGATCATGAATCAATTGAAGCTAGACCAAAATGGAAAGCCTTGAATCACTGGACGGCCGTTTCCTTCTACTATGAG